ACACGGCTTGTCTTTTGGAGTTGGCCAATACCCATAATTGTTTTTACTTGGATTTTCTATGAAAACAACAAATTAATATTCCCTACACGTTATTTGTATTTTAAAATAATGTTTTTTTTTGTACATTAAGTTATGCATTGTGTGTAATTAAAACTTACAATAGTAATTTTAACTTGAAAATACTTTTTACATGATGTGTTAAAAAACACATTTTGAATATATTCGCCTTACAAACTAAGTTTTTTTTTAAATTTGTAATTTTTAAATTACACTATATATTAGATGTAATTATAGTTCTTGTATTAGTTGGAGAAAATTGACCTCTTGACATGCCGACTTCTCCAATTGATGAAGGAAATCAACATAGGTAAGAATGTATGTTTTAATAGATACAATAATACTCATACATAAAGTAACAAACAATATACTTTATAAACTACATACTAAATATAATCTTTATAATACTAACTATAAACAACATACTTGTCAATAAGAAGTAACCGGTTTTTTTATATCTGACTTTAACGTATTGTTGTATTATTAATACATGTTATTACAATTTATAAAAATGTACGTTTATAAAATTAAGGAATAATTTTTTATAATTTATATAATTAAAATTTAATATCATAACTAACAATTTTGTTTATGAAATAAAATATGTGTTTTACTTATACTTGTATTATATGACGTTTAACAGTTTTCTTTTTTCATAAATTACTTTAGTACTAAATATATGTTACTAAAATTTCTTTGTAAGTCAGTTATTTCTTTTTACAAATAATATATTTTTTCATCAAAATCTATTTTTGAGAACAATAACAAATTATATAATTCATGTTAAATCGCCATTTTGTCACCGTCAATAAATTAATTATTTTATCTGTGCTTGAACTTTGTTTCGATTTTGTTAACTTTGTCCATTAGTTTTTAGAAATTGATGGATAATATTATACTCTTTTCTCCCTTGATAATTTGGTCTCATAATTTTTGTATTTTGTCTAACATTTTACAAAATTTTATCAATTTCAAGTTGATATAAAAAACGATTCTTTGTAGAAATATGCATGAATTTTCGGGGAGTAATAATGATTTTGAATAACTATATTTCACTTTTAAAGTGAACAAACTCTGGGCCGTTGCAGCAACGAGATGGAGTAGAGACGATACGAAGTGCTATAAAATGAAGACTAAGAACAAAACGATTAAAATAACAAAGACAATTTTAAATAAGTCCCGATCGTTTAAGAGTAGATAATGTGTGTCAAAAGAGGTTCACTACAAATAGAAATAATGTCCGTCATTTTGCGAAATCCAACACCTGTAATTTGAACGTGAAGCCGTCGCATAGAAAAACTACAATTAAAAATCTAGATACTAGTAGTTATGTGATTACTACAATCGACAACACCCGTTTTAGTTGCAATGTCTGCTTGAGATCTTTACCGTGTGAATTTAACCTGATAAGATATAAGGGCGAAATGCCTTTCAAATGTATAGTTTGCCATACAATTTCTACCCGTAATGAACACCTCAAGAAACATGTACTCGTTAATACTGGTGAGAGACCATACAAATGTACTGTCTCCGATAAATAATTGGTCCTTAACGGTCACCTCAAAACCCATGAGCTCGTGCATGCAAGCGAAAACCGTTTAAATGTATTGTCTGTAATATATATTTTTTGCGGAAGTTCTTACCTAAAAATAAACGAGTGTGTTCACACAGGCGAAAAGCCCTATAAATGCAATGTATGTAAGACATCTTTTGCTTTTGACGGTAACCTCGAGTGACATGAACTTGTGCATACAGGAGAAATATCTTTTAATTGTAGGTTCTGTAAAATTTCATTTGCCAAAAACGTTATCCTTAAGAGACATGAACTTGTGCATACAAGACAAAAGCCTTTTAAATGTAGTTTTTGCAACATATGTATTCACACCGGAAAGGCATTATACAAATGTAGCGTTTGCGAAAAAGTTTTATACTAATTTTGCGGTTGGAAAATACACGAGTGTGTTCACACAGGCGAATAGCCCTATAAATGCGATGTATGTAAAAAATCCTTTAAAAAAAAAATGTTACCTTATAGCGCATCATGCAAGATTACATAAATAATACGTCATAGACTTCATGTTACTATTTTGCTCTTAAGAATCTTAATTTTGTAAATTTTTTTGTGTTTTTTCCGGTTTATTTGTTTCAATTATAGTTTAGCTATAATTGACGAATTAATTTTGCAAATTATTATCATCGTCTAACCTAACTTAATATCGTTTTAAAATTTATTTTCTATATTATTTATAACTTTATTTTTTAATAATTATTTTGGATTGAATTGACTGTTATTAATATTTATGTCTGTAACGATTTGTTAAAATAGTTCTTTGTAAAAAAAAAAACAGTATTAGTTCTTTCATACAATCATAGTTACAGGATATAAATACCGTCATCAACAATATTATTATAATGAAAATATTTTTCAAGTACCCGTTAGCTCGGTTTTTTCTTTTTATTAAGTTTTCTTTATTTCAATGTTGACTACAGATTTATGAGAAAATTGTCAGTGCAACAATTTTCAAACTATAAGTTTCAAAACTGTACATTAATAAACAATGAAATAAAGACAAATTTTTCCATCCAATACTCCAAGTTTAGTTATGCATATTGATTTCCAGAAAACATAATACAAGGTCATTCATCGAAAAAATTAAATTTATTATTAAACCCTATAAGATATTGAATGGTTCACGGTAGAATGATCGCTCTGTATAGTAAAAAAGAACAGTACAATAATAAAGAACACTTACACTGAAACTTTTCAGAAATAACAAAAGGCCGTATAAGTAGAGTTTTTAATTCCTGCTTTCAAGGGTTATGTGTAACAGAAATTTAACAATAGTCATAGATTTCATTAAAAAAATATAGTATAAAAATTTAAAATACACATAACTTTACCTTAATGGTTAAACTATTTATATTATTCGTAAAAATAAAAAAACATCACAAAATATTTTAAAGTAATTTTTTCAACAACTGCAGCTAAATTTAAGAAAAAAAATGTCTTGATTAAAAACATTTTAAAATTGCCTAATCGTTCAATGGCGTATAAAAGACATAAGTTAGAATTTATAAATTTAATATAATATATTATATATAATATCTTAGAATTCTAATTATGTAAAGTTGGCTAAACAAACATAAACTTATTACTACTACAAATTATAATAAAAAGAAATCTTCCTATACTAGATAACTTTGTAGTTATTATTTTTGAACAATACATTGCACTATAATGGTTGATAAAATAAAAAATTTAGTTAGAACTAAACTTCTAAATTCTTATTTTTGCTTACATTAAAACTATGAGTTGCCTTCAAAAATATCAAAAATTAGATTCTACAAAAGGTCCAACTGATGACATCATATCATATTTTTAGTACTTAATTCTTAAAAAATAATTAAATTCTAGTTTTTATAAATATTGATAGTCAGTTTCCCTATCTTAAAATTAAGATTTCCGAACATGTTTAGGCATGATTTAACTTTTATCTGAGTGTATCATTATATGTTTTTTAAGAGTCCCGGATTGTGAAAATGTCTTCTTACATACATTACATTGAAAAGACCTTTCACCCGTATGTGTCTTTGTGTGCTGATTTAGATTTCCAGATTGTGAAAATGTCTTCTTACATATATCACATTGAAAAGGCCTTTTACCTGTATGTGTTATTTTGTGCCTATTTAGATCTCCAGATTTCGAAAATACCTTCTTACATATCTCACATTGAAAAGGCCTCTCACCAGTATGTGTCCTTTTGTGCTTATTTAAATCTCCAGCTTTCGAAAATTTCTTCTTGCATACATCACATTGAAAAGGCCCTTCACCAGTATGTGTCCTTTTGTGCATAATTAGAGTTCCAGATTGTGAAAATCTCTTTTTACATATCTCACATTGAAGAGGCCTCTCACCTGTGTGTGTTCTTTTATGAATTTGAAAAGTTCCATTTCGTGAAAATATCTTTTTGCATATCTCACATTGAAAAGACTTCTCACCATTATGTGTCCTTTTGTGCTTCTTTAGAGTCAAAGTTAACAAAATCGAAACAAAGTTCAAGCACAGATAAAATAATTAATTTATTGACGGTGACAAAATGGCGATTTAACATGAATTATATAATTTGTTATTGTTCTCAAAAATAGATTTTGATGAAAAAATATATTATTTGTAAAAAGAAATAAAGTACTAAAGTAATTTATGAAAAAAGAAAACTGTTAAACGTCATATAATACAAGTATAAGCAAAATATATATTTTATTTCATAAACAAAATTGTTAGTTATGAATATGATATTAAATTTTCATTATATAAACTATAAAAAATTATTCCTTAATTTTATAAACGTAAATTTTTACAAATTGTAATAACATGTATTAATAATACAACAATACGTTAAAGTCAGATATAAAAAAACCGGTTACTTCTTATTGACAAGTATGTTGTTTATAGTTAGTATTATAAAGATTATATTTAGTATGTAGTTTATAAAGTATATTGTTTGTTACTTTATGTATGAGTATTATTGTATCTATTAAAACATACATTCTTACCTATGTTGATTTCCTTCATCAATTGGAGAAGTCGGCATGTCAAGAGGTCAATTTTCTCCAACTACAGACTCGACCCTCCATCCATCAATAATATCTACCTCGACTTTTATTTTTCGGTTTGTTGCGCATTTTTCTAATACAAGAACTATATTTACAACTAATATATAGTGTAATTTAAAAATTACAAATTTAAAAAAAAACTTAGTTTGTAAGGCGAATATATTCAAAATGTGTTTTTTAACACATCATGTAAAAAGTACTTTCAAGTTAAAATTACTATTGTAAGTTTTAATTACACACAATGCATAACTTAATGTACAAAAAAAAAACATTATTTTAAAATACAAATAACGTGTAGGGAATATTAATTTGTTGTTTTCATAGAAAATCCAAGTAAAAACAATTATGGGTATTGGCCAACTCCAAAAGACAAGCCGTGTAATAACGGAGGGATATATGTAAATAAGAAATGCGTCTGTCCACCAGGGTTTAAAGGAGATAACTGTGCATTTGGTAAATAAAGTAGACATTTCTCAGATGAATAATTTTAACGACATATTTAATTCTTGTACATTTAGCATGTGGACCAAATCTATTCGGTTTTGACTGCACCGGCGTTTGTTCAATGGAGGATGAATATTGCAAAGGAACAATGATTTGTACAAACATTTTCTCATGCCAGTGCACTACTGGATACACTGGCGAGTTCTGTGAAGATGGTAATTTTACTGACAGATTTCATTTTAAAACAACGTTAAAACAATGATGCCATTATTTTAGAATGTCCTCGGGGATATTATGGATTCGGTTGTAACCAAAAGTGTTCAGAAAATTGTCTTTCTGATGAATGTAATATATTCTCCGGCGCATGTACTGAAGGATGCAAGAATGGTTATATAATGCCAAATTGTATGGAAAGTAATAACTTACTATTGTTTTTATAACGAATAGCGAACACACACAAATACTAGTATTATAGGTCATTAAATAGTCATTATTTGCTTTTAGTGTACCCTTGGCTAATAATTGCGCCTAAATTAGTATCATCTAATATGCAATCGATGACTTTGAATTTCGACTTGTCTTTTGACAATATTGGTGGTAGTCGACAGAAAAAACCCACGTATTACCATATAATGTATAAGGTATTTTTTTAATGTTCATAACATTACTACCTTGTTTACGCTATTTTAAGTATGACTGTAATAAAATGCATGGAAAGAAGGCAGTATAATACAAGTTAGAGAAATTTAGAAAGTATTCGCGGTATACAGTATACTAGTAAGAAAATAAGTTTAAATTCATAATATTTTGAAGGAAGAGTTAAAACTCGGAACTGGTTGAATGTAGATTTGATACAAATTATATTGATTAGATTTGTGGATTATAATATTTAAAGTAGCTGTAAGTAAGCTGCGTGACAAAAATTTGCCATTAAGTTAAGGAAAAACTGAATATTCTTGCCGACAATGAAATATTTTAGATAAAACTCACAATCAGATATAATAAGAACTTTGGAAAAAATCTATGAATCGTGTAAATCTAAATGAATGGAATCATTCAGGATCTGATCATGTACGTAAGAGGTATAAATAATATGTGAAATAACACACAATATTAATTAAGCTTAGTTGGAAAAAATTAATTGTTATTCGACTATAAATTATGTAAAGACACAAAATAGGAAAAAAGAAGAAAGCGGTGTTGTAAAATAAGTAGGTTAAAATTATTTATACTCGGTTCAAAATAAGAAGCGATCTCAGCGGCTATCTGAAAGCCACGTAAAAAAAGGTTTACAGGTAGCCGCCGAGGTCGCTTCTTATTTTGAACAGAGTACAATTAAGCATAGATGGGAGATGATTGATCAAAATTATTTTTGTTACTGTTATAAGTGAAAAGAGGCTCTTTTATCAGGGTCGAGTATACGTTTTAATATAAAATACTTTTCAAATTTTTATTTTGTAAATATGCACGTTGTTGTTTGGAAACTGCACTTCATGTATTACATTATTATGTTGCTTTTTAAGTACACATATTTTTCCATTAAAGTCAGTTTCGAGTGAAGGAAATGTTCAATATACGAATATAAAATACATCCAACAGAATATTAGTAATATAACAGACACCATTAATGGGCTAGCATTTGATACGTTGTACAGAGTCGGCGTTGTATTATTATCAGAAGACGGGAATTTTAACGAAGAAATAAAAACAGCTCAGTATATGACCACATGTTATGGTATCTATATAGTTTTTTTTATTAGTTTAAAGCATAGACTATAATAACAAATATAGTAAATATTTTTTATATTTACTGGCGCCTGTTACGTTTTTAGATCTATTAATTATAGGGTCGTATCACTGGATAGCTTCCCTACTCATAGTCTACAAGTCATTTATTACATTCTTAGCATATTTTCTTATTCTATATTTTGTATGTACAGATTGTAAATGTTATGTTAAAAAAAAAAATAAAATAAAAAATATCTATTACTAAAAATTTGTGTGGTGTAGTCTATTGTATGTTTTACATAAGTAAATGCGTTTTTATAATATACAATGTTTGTTATCTCTAATTTTGGTTTATTCCGTTAGTTTGGAATTAGTTTGAAAAAATCACTTTCCACCATTCTAATAATTGGAAATCATACTTTCATCAGACATTACTTTCAAATATCTTAACCACTCAATACATATTATTTGTGTCCAATACATTTTGTATTGGATATATTTTCAAAGGCTAAATATGTTTTATTGCAATTTAGAACCGGTTGACGTTATTTATGACTTGATGCTACATAGCAATGATCCAAAGACAATAACCGCAACTTGGAAAAAGGTAATCATATTTATTGGAGTTCAGTAGTTAATGTATTTCTATAATATTTATATGATATTATACAGGTTAGAGAAAATAAAGTATTACGTTAATTTATTCATTTTTTTTTTATTGTATAGCACACTCGACGAAATGAGACCGAATGCAAAATATACTATCATTTAACACTTAAGTTTAACCATACCATAGTGTCTGAAAACCAAATTAGTGAAGTTCCGAATATGGTTAACTTTACAAATGTATTGCCTGGTTATCTTTACACTGTTGAAATTCGAGCGTATACAGCATTAGGAGCAATAAACCTGACAGAAGTAGCTCATACAAGCACTGAACCAAACAAAGGTAATTTATTGGATTTTCAAAACAATTAAAAATTAATAACTAGTTAAGTTTTATATTAAAAAAACAAAAAAAAACTGTTAATTTTTAATTTCTATTAGTGTTTTAAATATGTATAATGAATAAAATAAAATTATACTCTATCATATCATGTGACATCCCCACAAAATCTGACGTATCACACTTTTCCAACTTTTCAGATTTTGTTGTTGTTGTTTGTTAAACGATATTAAAAAAATGTTTGAATTTTAAATTACAGGTAATATTATTATAAGAAACATCATAGGTAAAGCTGATGCTTTTAACCAAAGCGTTCGTTTGACATGGGAACTTGCAAATTCATTAATAGGAGACTCAATAAATTACACCATTAAATATAAGGTACTTCATAAATATCCATAAAAATTCAGCCCGTAAAACTCTCTCTTTGAAAAAATTTTATTCCACAACCATTCCTTTATTCACTTTGCACACATTCATATTTGTATTTATAATATCCACCTCTGCTTTGATATTACACTGTCTTTTAAATTCCTGTACTCTTTTAATCCTTATCTCTATCCTTATATCAGTCCTTTTTTGGATAGCTTGATATATTTTATTATAACTTATATAGCTTCTAATTTGTTGTCCTCAATATTTGTCTATTTATAATCTTATTTATTTCAATAGAAAGTTGGTTTTTTTATCTAGAAAGTATTTTTTTTAAGGTTAAATACAATTTATCTAAAATATTATAGGTACACAGATATTTTAGTTGTTCTCTTCATCCAGTTGAAAGCAATTGGACAACAGTTAATATTTATGGCCGATTGATGTATGAAATCTTGGACTTAACACCGAACACACAATATATAATAAACGTTGAACCTAGTATTAATTCAGAGTCATTGGAGAATGCAGTTTTTGTTAAAACACCAACTTCGAGTAAAATTGGATTTCATAAAATCTAGTATTATGCTCTTGTGTTTTAAGAAGAATTAATCAACCATACGATTTTACAGCACCAAATTTAGCTCCTGTTGTCGACAAAAACCAATCGTTATACATAACTAATCAGTCTGTCACCGTCAAGTGGATTTTCGATCAAAACCAATGTACCAAGCTCAACGGATTTTTTTCAGGATACCATTTAATACTGAAGGCATGTGTACACATTTTTATACTGAAAACCAATAAACTATTCAATCGTACTTCTAATCATTTTATATATTAATTTTGTAGAATTTAGAAAATGATACCCAAACGGTAGATGACACAGAAATTAATACCAAGGAGTATGTTAACCTTAATCCAAACACAAAATACGAGATACAAATTTACATAAAAAATAATAATGGATATAATCCCGATTACATGCTAGCGATACCATTTAAGATGAAAGCACATTGAAAGATATTTGGAACGAACTATTAATTATTTAAAATTGTTAAAATAATACTTATTATTAGCCAAAAGATACATTTATTAACAATGATATACAAGTAAATTCCTAGATACAATATTATACATATCGTTCACGTTATCTAATAAATCTGTCTTATTAATTATCATTTAACCCATTGTTCCTCTATAAAACATTTAGTTTTTTAAAACAACAATTTTGAAAAGTAACCCCTCCCCTTTTAAAATCGTGAAAAATACCAACAAAATTTACATTTTTTTCAACATAAAATTACGACGCTTCATAATTTTTTTTGAAGAAAGTCTTATTAATTACAAATTTGTATGGAATATTTTGTAAGCATAGTACTACTGATATACATTGTCAACCCAAAAAAAATAGCATAAACCATTTTCCCTAGAAGGGATAGATATTTTTTATTTATTTTTTTTTTTAACCTAAATTTTAGTAATTGAGATTTGAACATTTTACCGAATATAGATCTAAAATGGGACTATTTATAACATAAACGATTTTTTCAAAAATGTTTTGTTAAATTTTTTTGTATTAAGAAAACCCCCCTCTCCCAAAAAAGGGGATAATTACATTTTGACCGTAGTCAATTTCTAGGTTGCTACGTGTGAGCGAATCAACAGTCACCATCTAATGAAAACATTTACATAAAACTACAATATTATTCTTTTTAGTCAAACAGTAAGGAGTTAGTTTCACGACGTTAAAGACCAAGATGTACACTCGAAAAGTAGGCTAAAATTTGATTTAGTATACTGTATAATACATGCGATTCCATAATAAAAAGGATGGAGGAACAAGGCAATTAAAAATTTATGAGACTTAAGATGAAATTTATAAAATAACAGTAAGATATACGGACACAATATTATATTGTGCATAATTTTGTATTTCAATTTTTAATTTAAAGCTAAAGTAATAAACTAGATTACATGTTATATTTAGTTTTTAATTAAAAAAAAAAACTTACAATTATTCTTAGTAAGTTTAATTTGTAATTCTGGTTCAAAATCACCTTCGCTTTTTTTATCAATAGTAAAATACAATTTTTATTATGACGATACTTATAATTATTAGCTCAAGAATAATTGTGAAAAACATGTAACATTTTTTATTAGACTAATATTTTGGTCTCTGTTTGTGATGTGGCAGTTGACAACGTAGATACGAAAATTCGTTTTGCTAGTCCATACCATGATGTTTTCGACAATACCCCAATCGAGTACGTAGAACCTGGTTTTAGATTAGTCAACTGAAAAACATTATTAGAGTTGGTAAACTTAAACATCAACTGTAATGTATAGCAAAAATCTGAATACAAAGAATATCTAATATTGGATAGAGGTTTGGCTTTTATGAAATCCATAACTATTTCTGAGTTCTTAAACTGGTAACGGTTAAAATTTTCAAAATTTCATTAATAACGATAAAAACGCATGAATTTACCGTGCAGTTATAAGTTGGAACTTCTTTTGAAACGTTTATCTCAACATCGGGAAGACTTGCACAGCAAGTTTCCATGTCTACTGCTGTAACTTCTTCAGTGGTTACAATAAACGATTTTAAAGGGCCATTCAAAATCCACGGAATGTCCCATTGCAATGTGATATTATTCGAGCCGATAAGTGTTGCTCTTAAATTACCAGGCTCGTCTGAAACTGCAAAGAGTTCAAGATAAAAAATGATCAGTTATCTATTGCAAGTTTTAGAACTTCCATCGAAATACTTTGAAGATATTTGGTAACAATACTTACACCCGTCTATGAAGTTACAACTGACTGATGCGGGTAGACCTCCTTCAGCGTAATCTTGTGACACAGCTTTCACCTTTTTATGAAACGATCATACAAAATAGCATTTATTCAACAAAAAAACGCTAATATAATACCTTGAAAGTGTATTCATCTTTAGGCGTTAAATTTGAAATGGTTGCACAGTAATAATTGGGCCAACCTGTGCATTTATCTTTATTTGCGCGGATTTCCTTGAAATTAGTTAAAGCGTTGTCTTTAGTCATTGTGATTATAAAATTTAAGACTTCAATATCCTCTTCCTCTGGGTATCTCCAGCGAAGAGATATTGCCCTTTGTTTAGAATCTTTTTTATAGACAGTTAAATCTTCAACAGGCGATAGAACTGAAAATGAGTTATGTAGTGTTTACAGTAAATAATCGAATGGAATTTACTTATAAATAATTTTTAATAAATGTGTCTTTTGACTAATAATAAGTTTTACTTCAAAAATATTGATATATTAATATAATTCATTCTAAATGTCTTACACTGAGATTTTGTCTTAAACGGTATTGCTAGCATATAATTGGGATTATATCCATCATTATTTTTTATGTAAATTTGTATCTCGTATTTTGTGTTTGGATTAAGGTTAACATACTCCTTGGTATTAATTTCTGTGTCATCTACCGTTTCTGTATAATTTTCTAAATTCTACAAAACATTAATACTTAAAATGATTAGAAGTACGATTGAATAGTTTATTGGTTTTCAGTATAAAAATGTGTACACATGCCTTCAGTATTAAATGGTATCCTGAAAAAAATCCGTTGAGCTTGGTGCACTGATTTTTATCGAAAATCCACTTGACAGTGACAGACTGATTAGTTATATATAACGATTGGTTTTTGTCGACAGCAGGAGCTAAATTTGGTGCTGTAAAATCGTATGATTGATTAATTCTTCTTAAGACACGAGAACATAATACTAGATTTTATGAAATCCAATTTTACTCGAAGTTGGTGTTTTAACAAAAACTGAATTCTCCAATGACTCTGAATTAATACTAGGTTCAACGTTTATTATATATTGTGTGTTCGGTGTTGAGTTCGAGATTTCATACATCAATCGGCCATAAATATTATCGGTTGTCCAATTGCTTTCAACTGGATGATGAGAACAACTAAAATATCTGCGTACCTAAAATATTTTAGATAAATTGTACTTAACCTTAAAAGAAAAATACTTTCTAGATAAAAAAACTAACTTTCTATTGAAATAAATAAGATTATAAGTAGATATATATAAATAAAACAACAAATCAGAAGCTATATACGTTTATAATAATATCGAGCTATCAGAGATGGATATCATAAATAAAAATATGAATGCGTGCAAAGCGAACAAAGGTGTGGTAATGGAATAAAATTTGTTCAAAGAGAGAGGTTATACGGGCTGAATATATTTTTATGGACATTTATGAAGTACCTACCTTATATTTAATGGTGTAATTTATTGAGTCTCCTATTAATGAATCGGCAAGTTCCCATGTCAAACGAATGCTATGGTTAAAAGCATCAGCTTTACCATTAATGTTTCTTAATATAATATTACCTGTAATTTAAAATTTAAACATTTTTTTGATATCGTTTAACAAATAACAACAACCAAATCTGGAAAGTTGGAATAAGGGTGATACGTCATTTTTTGTGTGGGTGTCACATTTGATGGAGTATCATTTAATTTAATTCTTTTTCAACTTTAAAACACTTTGTAATTAATAATTTTTGTTTTTTAAATATCAAACTTATCTAGTTACTAATTTCTAATTGTTATTACCTTTAGTTGGCTTAGTGCTTATATGAGCTACTTCTGTCCGGTTTATTAATCCTAAAGCTGTATGCGCTCGAATTTCGACAGTGTATAGATAACTAGACAATAAATTTGTAAAGTTAACCACGTACGGAACTTCACTTATTTGATTTTCAGACACTGTAGTATGGTTAAACTTAAGTGTTAAATGATAGTATATTTTGCATTCGTTCTCACTTCGTCGAGTGTGCTATTGGATAAAAAAAATTAATGAAATTAAATTAATTAATTAAACTAATGAACATAATAATTTATTTTCTCTAACCTGTATAACAGCATTTAAGTTATATAGAAATATATCAATTACTAAATTTCAATAATTATGATTACCTTTTTCCAAGTAGCGGTTATTGACTTTGGATCTTTGCTATGTAGCATTAAGTTATAAATAACGTCAACAGGTTCTAAATTGCAAAAAAACAAATTTAGTCTTTCAAAGTATATCCAATACAAAATGTAACACAAATAATATTTATTGAGTGGTTAAAATATTTGAAAGTAATGTCTGACGAAAGAAAGATTTCCAATTATTAGCATGGTGGGAAGTAATTTTATCAAACTAATTCCAAACTAACGAAATACACCAAAAATAGAGACAACAAATATTGTATATTATAAAAACGCATTCACGTATGTAATACATACAATAAACTGTACCACACAAATTTTTAGTAATAGATCTCAAAGCGTAACAGGTGTCGGTAAACATTAGAAATACCTATCTACTATATGTGTTATTATAGTCTCTGCTTTGAACTAATAAGATAAATATATAAATACCATAACAAGTGGTCGTATACTGAGCGGTTTTTACATCTTCGTTGAAATTCCCGTCTTCTGATAATAATACAACGCCGACTCTGTACAACGTATCAAATGCTAACCCATCGATGGTTTCTGTTATATTACTAATACGCGGTTGGATGTATTTTATATTCGTGTATTGAACATTTCCTTCACTCGAAACTGGCTTAAATGGAAAAAAAAGGTGTATTTATAAGGCAACATAATAATGTAATAAGTAAAATGTAATAATATTAATATATGAAGTGCAGTTTCCAAGCATTGTTGTGCATCGTTAATTGCTTGTAACTTTTACAAAATAAAAGTTTGAAAAATAACTTAAATTAACTTTATACTCTGGTAAACGAGCCTCTTTTCACTTATAACAGTAATACAAAGTAATTTTGATCGCTCATATCCTATCTATAGACTATACTTAACCAAAAAACTTTAAACTATATACACCCCTCTTCTTCGTTTTCCTATTTTGTGTGTGTACATATATAAAGTCGAATAACGTTTAATCTTTTCCAACTAAGCTTAATTAGTATTGTGTGTTATTTCCCATATTAATTATACCTCTTACGTAGATGATCAGTTCCTGAATGATTCCATTCCTTTAGACTTACACGTTCAATTCATAGATTTTTTTTAAAGTTCTTATTATATCTGATTATGAGTTTTATCTAAAATATTTCACTGTCGGCAATGGTATTTAGCTTTTCTATAACTTAATGGCAAATTTTTGTCAAGCAGCTTACTTACGGCCACTTTAAATATTATAATCCACAAATGTAATCAATATAATTTGTATCAAATCTACTTTCAACCAGTTCCGAGTTTTAAATCTTTTACTTCAAAATATCATGAATTTAAACTTATTTACTTACTAGTAAATTGTATACCATAAATAATTTCTATATTTCTCTAACTTGTGTTATATTGCTTTCTTTCCATGCATTTTATTACAGTCATACTTAAAATAGCGTAAACAAGGTAGTAATATTATAAACATTAAAAAATACCTTATACATTATATGGTAATACGTGGGTTTTTTCTGTCGACTACCACCAATATTGTCAAAAGACAAGTCGAAATTCAAAGTCATCGATTGCATATTAGATGATACTAATTTAGGCGCAATTATTAGCCAAGGGTACTCTAAAAGCAAATAATGATCATTTTATGACCTATAACGCTAGGATTCGTGTGTATTTTGCTATTCGTAATGTTAATTACTTTCTATACAATTTGGCATTAAATAACCATTCTTGCATCCTTTAGTACATGCACCGGAGAATATATTACATTCATTAGAATGACAATTTTCTGAACACTTTTGGTTACAACCGAATCCATAATATCCCCGAGGACATTCTAAAATCATGGCATCATTGTTTTGACGTTGTTTTAAAATGAAATTGGTCAGTAAAATTACCATCTTCACAGAACTTGCCAGTGTATCCAGTAGTGCACTGGCATGAGAAAATGTTCGTACAAATTATCGCTCCTTTGCAGTTATCTTCCTCCATTGAACAAATGCCGGTACAGTCAAAACCGAATTTATTTGGCCCACATGCTAAATGTACAAGAATTTAATATGTCATTAAAATTATTCGTCTGAGAAATGTCTACTTTATTTACCAAATGCACAGTTATCTCCTTTAAACCCTGGTGGACAGACGCATTTCTTATTTACATATATCCCTCCGTTATAACATGGCTCGTCTTTTGGAGTTGGCCAATACCCGAAATTGTTTTTACTTGGGTTTCCTATCAATACAACAAATTAATATTACTAACATTTGTATATAGTTCGTTGATACTTTACGATATTCGTTCTTAAAAATAATGTTTTTTTTTTCGTAGATTAAGTTAAAAATTGTGTTTGACTAAGAACTCAGGAAATAAACCATAATAACATTATTCATTGAAGTAATCTAACAGAGTTAAATTTTAAATACAAACAATTCGTTAATTTATTTTTTAAAGTAAACTTAATTCTTTACCAAAGGGATAAATTCCGACTTTTGATGGGAACCTTTGCATAGGTAGACCAGTGTACACTTCTTCAAATTCTACAAGATAAAACATTAAGAACATATTATATCAACATATATATATATTAACTTAATAATTGGTAACATAATTATATATTTTATTAACTTTTCAAATTAAGAAATTTTTATTAATAATTTTGACTTGTTAATAACTAGTTTAGGACAACTATTTATAAGTTATAAGAGTTTAAAAGTGCGCACAGACGAAAATTATACTCCAATCTACCTCTACTCCCTCTAGATCTACCTTCAGTATAACTGCCATACATTGAATTTTAAAACCAACGCTCAAAATAGTGATATAAGGAAAACATTTCCACCCCTTCAAGATTATACAGTTAACCACCGTAAAGTTGAAAATTATGTAAATTTTTTGTGCGTATTTCTCCATATTGAAGGGTTAGTGGCGAGTTTCTTAAATGCTGATTTAATAAAGTAACTTTCAGGTACGACTACCGATAGATTTGCTACTTAAAGGAATCAGTTCGGCAGTTAAGAAGATATTATAGATGTAGACACAAATTAAAACGTATCATTATAAAAACAATATCAGCTACGCATCGAAGCTTAGCTTAGTTTTGTTGTACTTCTTGAATTAAATTCGATCAAGTTTATTGATTATTACTTATTTAGTACTTGTGTGACAAGATTTTGGAGATAGATAATTGGTCTGGCCGATCTGATTTGTACGGAGAAAGTTATTGCAAAGAAGAAGAAAAATCAGAGTCACAAGTTTCTTACACAAAAAAAATTGTTTAGGCAAAACAACTATTGAAAAACTATATATCTACTTTCCAGTTACATTCTAAAAGGGCTGTTAATTTAATATTTAAAGTATTTACCATTTAATCCCAGACATTGAACTATTCTCTTTATTCCAAAAACAGATTGGGAGTCGAACTTAAGTCGCAATTCGTACTCTTCATTTTCCCAAAATATCTCATTTGTACGTAATACTAACGTTTCTATGGTGTACTGCAAATACATTTTGTTTATAATATGAAATTGTCTTAGCAGTAAAAGCCAGATGAATTGTTGTAATTTTTATTTAAGTAAAAAATGGTTTATTAATTTTAGTACAGTAGAAGTTTTATCCATACACACGCTTACTGTGTGTATTATTAATTGATGTAGAAGGACTTTCGTTTTGTTTTATAATGTGTGAGCTTAAATATAGTTACATTTAATATGTTTTAGCAAGAGTTAGTAGTCGTTTTTGATATAACTGATAAGTTTTTTTACTATTATAAGTTAATCAAACCAAAAAACATTATTTATGCCAAATTTTAATTATTATCAGTGTTTTTTTTATGTTTAAAGTGTTTATTGTATTTTAAAAAAAAATAGTACTAACACACAAAAACCAAGGAATTGAAATAAACTATACAACTTAGGAGTTGACTTTAGCGTCAAAGCTCAACATTTGTGGAATAATAATTTAACGTACTACGTTTATACTACGTATAGTATTTAAATAGTCTTATATGAATTAATTTATACTTAAAGTGATATAGAAACATTATAAATATCTGAATAACCTGGTGGAGTGATTGCAGCACCCCAGGAGGGGGTCATAGATTTGTATTGTGTACTAATATTTGCTGACAATTATAATTATTATTGTTATTTGTTATGACTGGGCACAAACAAAAAATATGCAATTGAATTCCTTACAACTTAACTACAGTACTAAAAACGTGACTTATTTTTTTTAAAAATATTTTGATGTTTTGATTGTTATTCAATAGCCAAAAAATAAATGAAAATATAGCAAATATTCGTACTCAAACATCCACAAGCTCCTAACAATTTTATGAGTGCTTAATCTTACTAAAATCACTGATACACAATAAAAGTAATATATTAAAACATTGTAAAATATGTATATTTTTTATATATGTTAACATTAATAATATCTGTGCAAAATCCCAAAATAGTTATAAATAGTTGCTAAAGAAGTTGGCTTCTTTGTGAATGAAAAATAAAGAATAATACAAAAAACCGTTGAACTTACGTCTGTTCGCTCAAAACTATGAGATAAAATGGCATTTGGATGATTTTTTTTAAATATTTCCATTGAAGATCTAGAATTCAAAGAGTAGTAAGATATCGATAAACATGCTTGAATTGTACGGCTTGATCTCCATTTTATATTAAATTGATCAAAATCCCTTAAATTTGTCAAATATTCGTATTCAGTGATAACATCAGGATTTTCTGAAAATATACGTCTAGCCTAATTGTATGTTTTGATAAAACTCTCACTTAAAATAAAAGTAGGTTGACATAATTATTATCTTACACTAAACATAAAGTAACCCCTATTATATTTAGTTTAGAATTTCACGCCGAGTTATGAAGTTGTATTAGGTTATTTATAATCAGTATGAAATATTTTAACCCAAAAGACGAATCTACTAATGAAAAAACGGTAAAATGTAAAAAAAACACATACAACTAAAATGCATATTTTTTCAGATTCACATTGAAGCTAAAGATATTTTCTAACATTAAATTATAGCCATTACTTGAAGCTGTACGTCGCTTGTTATCATAGACATAGATATTATCATTTATTCCGCGACTGACCAAATCCCAATTGTTTCTTTCGTCATAGTCTATGTAATTGAATATATTTCCAAATGTCGAATCTGCAATAACCTCGAAATCTTTGTTACCAAAACTCAACAATTTTCCATCATACGTTACTGGTAAGCCAATAGCGTTCGTTCTTAAATGAATTTCAACTTTGTAACAATTGGTATGCGTGGTATTGTTCATAAAGTCATCGTTCCAATTACCTTAAATAGTATAAAAACTTAAAATAAAATATTTTATTTATATACTATTTGTTATTAAGCAAGTGTTTATATATATATTTTTTTTATAACAACCATACTTTTATTTTCATTGGGCCAAAAGTTAACGTCCAATTGATTTCTAATACTTGGACCATCTAAACAAATAATATATTATTATATTAAAAGAAATTAATTTTATTGCCTTTCTACAAGGGCATGCACATAACTTTACAGTAGCAATAAATTCAAGCATTTTTAGTAAAATATTTTAAGCTGCAATTAAAAAAAAATAATACTGTTATAATAGTTGATTAAACAACAATTAATTACTTACAGCAATTTTCCGGTTTAGCGTTTTTCTTTGTCTTGTAAATTGCAGTAATATCATAATTATTATCTAAAAACACAGCATGTACGTTGTTATAATATTTTTTACTAAAATAACGTTTTTAAAAAATTGTCAACTATTTTTAATTATTATTGTATACTAAATGTTTATAAGCTTCGAATAAATGTGGAATAAAATTTAAAAATCTGAACCACTTAATTAACGACATTTTATTTATATATTAATAATTAAAATACAATTCAAGTACGATAAAACACAATACATTTTTATGATTTAAAAGATACCTGTGGTATGGGATTTTAGTTCGCTACTCAAAATATCCGCAGAAGAAAAACCGAAAGTTGTGATGACGGCATATACGAAAATTTCATTAAATTTTATTTCCATTTTACTACAGTATTTGAACTAGTACAAAACTTGTTAACCACTGGTGTGGTTAGAATGTTGTCTAGAATAATAATACAATAATAACGAGCCATTGTACGCGGAGTTTTTGTTGATTTCAATATTGTACACTAAATAGTGATTAACATAATCATATTTGATTACATAGGTCATAGTTATAAGGTTATTTTTTAATGATGATTTTGCTTAGGTGAAATAATAGTAAACATAACGTGATGTTTTCGTTCTTTGATCGTTTCCTGATAATTATTTTAAACTATGACTTTTAGCTTCGATGCGGAGCATCACGGTTTTACAATGATGTGAGTTTTTTTTTGTGCCTGTATAAACTATAACTTTTTTAATACTGGGCCAATTCCATCGAGTAGCAATTCAAAACCGATTATCAAGTTACGGGTTATTGCAGTTTTAATAAATAAATGAAGTAAGCAAGCAGGTGTGATGCAACCGAGAATATTTTCGAGTGCTTCTATACCCTGTCCTACCTTATATGAAAATTACACTTTAATATTACCTTAAAAGTATTTATTAAAAATGTTATCGCCAATCAAAATTTTAAAATATCCCTTAAAATGTTATTGTAATGATACCAATATTCCAAAGAAATTTCACAATGGTGTGTATATGTTCAATATTTAGTATATTAAGCACAGTGGTATATTATTTATTAATAATTAAAAAAAAACTTCACTTTAATATTTATTGTAATAATAATTAAATGATTTGTAATTATACAAGCTATGTCACAGCTAAAACAATTATAATCACCTTATTATCAATAGAATTTGTCGTTGGAATATAATATAAAGCATAGTAAAATAATGTTCTTTTTATATTTTTGTATTACTTAAGGTTTCTAAATTGTTCAAAAAACTTATTGTAATTTATGACAAAAATGATTATTAAACTCAATAATATGCAGCCTCACAGAAATATTTTATCAGAATAATTGAAAAAAATATGTATTTTATTTGAATTTAATTAAATTTATTAACATTTTACGGGACAAGCCCTTTAATTACAGAAAATGATAATATCTAAAGCAACCGAAAAAGAAATGAGAACAGAAAAAAAAATTTTAAAAATTGTACATAAAATAAGTATTTTAAGTTTAAAATGTATAGATAATTAAACATATTAATGAGACACATGTAATAATGGGTTTTAATTTGAAAATGTAAATAAAGCTTTCATTCTTAGACTTTTGTAGGACATACGAGTATAAAAGAAATCCACATCATTACAAATTTTTAAAAATGTTATTTACTTTTGTGCATAACTGTGAACTATGTACCTATGATTCAAATATTATGAATAAATTCGAAATGTTTTTAACACATAATACAAAAAAATTTTTTCAAGTACCAACTTGAGAACTTACATCTTATAACTTCACTATCAAAAATCACTCGTATTTTATTTTTTTAGTAGCTTTTATAAATAACATTGTCACAATTGTTTAATTCGTAGCATTAACAGTTTTTTTTTTAGCCTAATCCGAAAATACCAATTTTTTTTATTGAAAAAACCATATTATTTTAAAAAAATACAAAATTTTATCAGTGATAAATTCAGTGCGGTTTGTAATATTCCCTAAATAATGTTGTCACTAAATTATTTAATAAAAATAATTTATCTTTTAAAAACATTATTAAACGGAAAAGAAAAATTATTTTATATTGCTCAACTACATTTCACAGTAAAGGAGTATAGGGGGAACTAAAATGTCTTATACCATATTAAACCTATTATTTGGAGTATTTGAAAACATTGAAAGATGGACTAGCCAATCCAATAATACTCTCTTTGTTGGTTTAAACCCAAAAAAAAAATGTCGGATGTCTTTGAAGTATGGACGTTGTAGTATCAAAGCATATTTCAAACAATCCGTAGCAACGTCTCATCGTGATCATCGACCATTTTGTTTGACTATTCATTTTTATTTCATTTTCCGAAGTCAAATATTTGTATAGCCAAGTGTCATTACATTAAATACGTTTTCTCGAATCTCTGCGTGTTATCGTATTTCTATTAACAGGTAAGAAGATAAACTCTTATAATGCTGTGCCACTGACATAACAACGATAAAATACCTAGTCTTAAACTTAAGTTACTAATAAATGATGTTTTAGTAATAAAAGTTAATTCGCGATAGTTCATAATATTTTATCTTTATAGGTGCTAAAAACATTGCACAATAGTTTAGTAGATAACAACAAAAACATAGTTAAAAATTACTTTGAATAATGCTCTTACTTTCACTTCACATTACTTTTAATTTTTAACCGTTCAATGAAAACAATGGCGTGAGTATATTTCTATTAAAATAGAAGAATTTAAATTTCAAATGTAAACTCGCCAATTACCTGAGATAACATTTCTAAAATGTGTTAAAAATAGCTTCTTTTATATTTATTGAACACCTTATATTATATGTATAACGGTTATAGTCATATTTTTTTTCTAATCGTTACAAGTACAGATAATAGATCACTTGTATCGTTTTATCTGTGACCGTTCATTGTCACCTCACATTTGGTTGGGCTTGTAGATCTATGATCTAACTTTTAGCACCGCTTGAGTCTACATATTCGTGATAAGTAATTGTACACACAAAACGCATGTTTATAACATGGTCTTTGATTTAACTAATAAGTCAATGAGTTACTGGTGCTTCTATATGGTAAATATAACGACATTATTCGAACTATCACTTAACCAACAGTTAGCCCATACACCCGAAGTGCTTGGTGTTGACATTTTGGACAGTGAGTGAGTAGTATGACATAATGTGAATTTATACATATCTATTTTATAGATAGAAATACAGTAACAAAAGCTAATACGAGGTCGCGGCATATTGGTGTTTTCTTTCGCCTATACAATTCATTTGTCTATCGATAGTGTCTATGCGGATTTGTATTTTCCCCTAAATTGCTACTAGTTTGCTTAGTTGCCTAGATTAGGTGATTTAATTTTGGATTTCCATTCCTATGGAAACTTTTGCCACGTTACTCTGGGAAATTAGTTAATTGTAATCAAGTCGGTTTTGATGTAGTCACGTGTAATTGATTTGGCACGAATTTTTTCATTATAAATATAAATGTAAGATATATGAATATGTTGTTCATTATGAATATGAAAGCTTTTCCACCATGGTCGTTTATACATAGCGTTGAAAAAATTTGTTGCCATTTAACAGTTAATAGGCAAATTTTAAAATTCATATTGAAAATTAAAAATAAAAATTATGTTATCATGCTCAACTAAAACTGACGGCAAACAAGGGTAAGGAGAACTAAAAATATGACCTATAAATGTTTTATACAATTTTAATCATATTAACTGGGAAACAGTAGTACATGGTAGAGGGACAAACCAATCGACTACTAATCTCTTTGTTTGTACAAACATAAAAAGCAAATTTCGGATGTCTTTGAAATAATATGGAGGTGGTAATTTCCAAAGTGTATTTTAAACAATCCATGGCAACGTCTCGCGATCATCAACCATTTTGTTTGAGTGTTCATTTTTATTTCATTGTCGATTGTCCGAAGTCAAATATTTAGTGTCATTACATTAAGAAAATTTTTCGGATCTCAGCGTGTCATTGCATTTCTTTTGACAGGTAACTAGATATTCCTATGCTGTACCACTAACATATCAACTTATCAACGATCGAATATCTATTTTAACTTAAATTACTAATAAATATAAGAGACGTTTTACTAATAAAAGTTATTTAATGATAAACCATATTATTATTTCACCGCAAGTGTATTACTGTACGGTTACTATACAAAAATTTAATTTTTATAGTAAGACTATTAATGTATTTTTTTAATATTATTTATTATTGTAAATTTACTTTTTTGTTTTCACTAATCGGGTATGAAAAATAAGTAGCTCTTATCTACCCAGCTTTCTGTTAGTACCTTCTGTGTTTTATTAAAAGAATAAAAAACATTTTAGATAGGTGGTAGATAGTATGTAAACATAAATATTATCATTTTTGACGGTATATGATAAAAACAAACTTTCAACTACATTAATAACAGAATACGGACTTATTCTTATGTTTTTGTAGAAAACATATTTATTTATTTTTCGTGTTTTCACAGTTTTTTTATTAGTTTAAAACTAAAATGAGCGGTACTGCACCGACAAGAGGAAAGTCTCGTCGCTTAGATACCGGAATGCGTTCTGCAATCATTTCTGCGCCGAGATACCCACAGCCATACGGTGTCCGTCCACCGCATCCACCGCGTCCCACATCATTCCAAACTCCTAGACCGGTTCTAATCAGACCACCTGTCTGTGAATCTGTTGCTCCACAAGTAAACTAAAATCGAATATAAATAACTGACTTAAGAAATTATGATTTAAGAATGACAATTATTATTCAAAACGTTTTTCTTTTAGGCTAAACCGGTTACACGAGACGTGAAAAATTTGGTCACGTCGGGTAAACTTTAATTATAACTTTTTCGAATAATGTGTAAAAGTAAAATCGATTTTACTGGGTTTTTTTGTATAGACGATACTACAATTCCTGTTGGTCGGGGAAGTATACGCGGTCGTAGAGTTCCTGAAATGGACAATTTCGTAGCACCTCGCCCCGAATCTTCTTTGGCTCCGACAGGAAAAAAAGGTAAATAATAATTAGATTATGTATAGGTATGCAGGGCTGTGTGTTGTATTTTAAACATGGGCCGTCGGTCGTACTGTTGTGTCTTGGTGCACAACTGTATACTTAATGAAAATTAACTAAAAACTGCTATCAATGTTTGTTGCCGAAATACACTGATCTTAAGATGATACCTCGAGTGTCCAAAATGACGCTTGTTTAACGTTTTTACAGCATCCCAAAAAGGACTAATGGTTTTTCTTGAATAGCCAGAATGCGTTTTGGTTCACTTACTCATGGTGTATACCGAAGTGTTGAACGCCACAAAAAGTTTTCTTTTTTTTTGCAAACACCCAACAAGTTAAGATGAGTGTAATGTACTTATTTTTTACTATTGTGTGTTTATAAACATTACAA